CACCAATGCAATTCTACATCAATTTCAATTATTACCATTTTACGCTACTTCAGGTATACGTAAGTTACGTTCAGATTTCAAATATATACGCAGCTATCCATTACCATAACGGCTACGAACTATACGTATGCGACATGTGCTAATTATATATATGACTTCACATAAAATACATTATCGCTATGACATTATAATAATTGTTATATTAGACTAAGAACATTAGCACATGTTTAGCAGATAAAATAATGTTACTTATCAAAATTACACTTTAGTACACTGTACCTACCCTATCAATGTGACAGGGGTCTTTTTTCACTAATTACTAGTCCATCTTTCTGATAGACTCCACAGGCCAACACTGTAGCAGAACAATAACTATCTTTACCAAAAAGGTCCAATTACGGTTAAAACCAATTTAGATATTCCTCATCTCGCACTATGAAAAAATATAGTGGGACAATAACCAAATTACCAAAATGCCAAAGTACTAACTTTAGTAAATTATAAGTTCCAGTTAGACGTAAATTGAAACTAAATCACCAAATAGTATTTTATAAAACAAGTATACATAACCTAAACTGGTATTTTAAACACTTACATTATCTTCCATTCGGCACTCTGAAAACTTCTAGTATTCCTAGTATCTTCGTTACTCGTTGACAGTCTTTGGAGAGAGTGACCAGGGCGGAGTACAATAAGCGCGTGCACGATCCCAAAAAAACGCAATGCGACACCTCAAGTGACGAGACATTTACATGACAATACATTACAAGTACACCACAGGTGACAGGACATGTACCCAACCCCCAGGCTACACGGCCAACCGGTTTTCTGACTACAATAGTAACACTGACAAACGCATAGACACAAACGTGTACAATACAACACATACATAACACGCACGCATAAGATAGTTTATACGTAAAATAGATAATATGTATGTACAAAAATACGAGACTACCACAATAAAATGACGAGAGGACAAGTGGGCATGCACCGCTCACCTGATATATATATACCAACCAAATATCATGCTTCAAGGCCATTTAGTTCCTGTGAAAAGGTCGTTTAAATTATTTAAACAGTTTGGCCCCTGTGACGTTGAATAAAAGTGAAGGTCATTTACTTTCGCAAGCCTCGTCCAAGGAACATGCTGGCCAAATATCATGTCTCTAGGCCTATTAGTTTATGAGAAGAAATTGTTTAAAGGTTTTAACAAATTTAACCCTTGTGACCTTGAATATAAGTCAAGGTCATTGTTTTAACCAAACTTTGTCGGGCTTCATCCTAAGAACATACCGGTCGTTTATTAAAACATTTGGTTAATAGGTTATGGAGGAGAAATTACTTCTAGGGAAAAGCTAACAATGCAAGCCATCTACATTTGTTCCCATTTCCTTCTGTGTACACTTCCATTTCCGACAAAGAACATGTAGATCATTTATTTTACGGAATCATTATAATACGAAACTAAAATTTGCTTTTGTTACGCTACAGGAAACGGTGTATGAAACTACAGATTAACATGACTTTACGATGAATAAATAAACATATAAAAAGGGCGTCACTGGAAAGTTTTTACCTGTTATAGAAAACATTATAAAAGCACTAGACTTAACCAATCACACAGACATAGACTCTATCGATAAAATATACTTTCAACAGTGCGTTGTCCGAGCACTATACTTAGCAACAAGAACAAAACTAAGTTTCTTTCTGAATCGTTGGGATAAATGTTCTTCAAAAAGTTCGTATTGGTATGACAGTTTCGTTTTTATCGTTCCGGAAGATGCACGCAACCACGCTAACTTTTCATGTCTTGTTTAAACACGCTACTGGCTTAACATATATATAAGTCACTACCACAGGATGGTGACAATAATTAAGAAGCTAACATTTAACAGGATAATTAAACTGGTAATTAATCCTCAGAGACCAAGTGTTGTGCGTACATATACGTTTATGAGGTAATTAGCCGAGTGTTACGTATAGGCGACAATTTACTATGTGTACGTATTAACAGATTTCTTCAGAAGACGTGCCACGTTTTGACAAAACTTAATTTTTAAACAACGAATTACTTTTCCCTTGCTTTACAATTGAAAGGACAGTAAAATGGCTTCGACTCTTTTGAAATTTCTACTCAGTGAAATTCGAGTCATCCGAACTAAAATCAAAAAGAGATATAATTATTTTTTAAAAACCCATAATTTTTGTGGTATTTATTTTCTTTGAATTTATGTTACTCTGAATCCGCGAATTTATAGGTCCACGAAATGGTGTACATTTCAACATTGAAATGGATCATAGTTCTGGTGAATTCCATGAGCAAGATTTACCCGAGAAATAAAGTACAAACGAAAATTCATATTTTTGTAAAACCACGAAATCTATATATAGCAAATATAGTATATGTGGCAGCTACAACGTAATGCATTCCTCTTTCAAGAATGAATTCATGAAATAGTTTTCTGCGGCAAAAAATAAGTTAACATTCTGTCGATGTCATGTCCTTAAACATCACTAAATCCCAAAGAATAAATTAACGTTCATTTGATGTCATATTTTTAAACATCACTAAACCATCGGTATTGTTGACGATTTATACAAAATACTTAAATATATCAGCCTCATTACAGACTACAATTAGCTTTCTACAGTACACGGCGGTTTAAATGTAATAAACCATGGGCAAACTATGAACAACAGGAATATTCCCATGGAGACTCATAGAGACATGTTGTTTAAAGTTATTTTGATATATTTCACCGGACGCTGTGAATTAAACCTTTATGTTTGAAAATATATAACGCTTATAAAATAGCCAGTTCACTGACAATTTAAACCAAACATACATTTAAATGTATATCAATTCAAACAGTGCTATCTTATCTCACCGTTATTGTAATTAAACTACTCAGACAGATTGCCTCAATTATAGCCGAGATTGTAAACGGCGAATTTTGAGTACCTGAAGTAACTTTATAAAAAAACTGTAAACACAGATTTTTTTTACACTTGCGTGAAACTGTCCATTCTCGCGCAGTGTTAAATTCTTACTAAAACACACACATATATATACATTTCAGATTTAACATTCCACCCATCATTTAATTAAAGATTTGAGGTGGATGGTCGAGGCTTTCTGCCCGTGGCGGTTTGTAATTTTCTGAAAGCTGACAAAACGGACCACCTGTTTTTGATGTCGTGGTTTTGTCCTTGAGTAAGATATTTTACCCTTATTGCACTAGATGGCATGCGACGGGTCTCTTGTATGTTGTTCAGTGATGTAGTCATCAGCTACTACAATGGACCCCTATTAAAATGACACTGAATGTCCACGAGGCAATAAACCTAGCAAATTCAGTAACTCGGTAGACATATCATCCTGTCTTATCCTGTTATCTGTTTCACTGTTGATCAGTTTTGTTACTTAGGATTTTTGCTAAGGTTTAATAACAAATATAGTAGTATGGTAAAACATTTAGCTGACCAAGGTCGTAAAGCACTTTTTGCTCTGAGCTCTGAGTACAATAATTTTAACCTGAACATTAAAACTATGTACCATCTATTCGACACGTACGTTGGTAGTGTACTACATTATGCTTGTGAAATATGGGCTGTTTGCAAGGCTATCGAAGTCGAAAAAATTCATTTGAAATTTTGTAAAAGTATCTTATGCGTTAAAAAATCAACATGTAATGCGATGGTTTATTTTGAGCCGGGTCGATTACCTCTTGTTAACCAACTTTTATTCAGAATATTTAAATATTGGTTTAAGCTGTTGAATTGTGATAATTGTATATCGAATGAAGTATATCAGTTTATGCTGAAAGAAATGGAAATAGATAACCCAAAGCAAACTTGGTTGTTCTTTGTAAAGCAGAAATTATTCGAACTTGGTTTAGGCTACATCTGGATCAGGCAAACTCCTTGTGATATCATCCTATTATCATCAATTAAGCAACGCATAGACGATCAGGCCAAACAAATTTTATTTAATTCTCTTATTATGTCTAGTAAATGTGATCTCTACCGGTTCATGGTAGATGATTTGTCACTTCAGTTTAATTTAACCAAATATTTACCAAAACAGCGCAGAATTGTTATCTCTAAACTTAGTTTATCAACTCATAACCTAGCTATAGAAACTGGTAGATATAGAAATAGTGATAGGAATAATAGACTTTGTAATAATTGTGACCTATTAGAAGTAGAAGATGAATTCCAATTTCTTTTTACCTGTCCCATACATTCCGATCTTAGGAGAAAATACATTAAAATATTACTGGTATCAGCCATCTGTTTTCAAAGTTATAGAATTATTGAACACACATGATTTGAAAGATTTGACTTTACTGGGCAAATAAATTATTGAAGCGAACAAACGTAGATGTATCTGATTATTAATTACAGTGACATTGTACATTTCTTATGTTTTTTGTTGTTGATGATGATTTTTGATGATGATTTTTGATGATGATGATGATGATGATGATGATGATGATGATGATGATGATGATGTTATTATTATTATGATGATGATGATGATGATGATGATGATGATGATGATGATGATGATGATGATGATGATGATGAATGATGATGATGATGATGATGATGATGAATGATGATGATGATGATGATGATGATGATGATGATGATGATGATGATGTAGTTGGGTTGTCTGTACGTCTCATCATCAGGTATTAATGAAAATTATTGTAACAATGAAAAAATATAACTGACTGTTTGTGTCTAAATAGTGTGTATGATGTTGTTCCCGTGTTTGTACTATGTATTATATATATTATCATGTGTGTTATTATATGTTACCGATAAGTTGTATAACTTAAGGAAATCAACTTGATTGATATGCACTGATATATCGATGTACCTCACTACCTTCCCCCAAACCTCAACACACACATAATGAAATATTATCGGGTTTTTTTTAGCCATACTTAATAGATATGTGTTTCTTGTTTTTTGACAGTCGAGGCATGTCGGTGAAAGTGTGGATCGGCGTCACGGTTAGTCTCCTTGTTGGGTTGATCTGGGTGGCTGGTCAGGATCTGGTTGACCCATTCCAGATACAGGTAAGCCACTTATTGCATTATATATCAGTATACCACAGTTTATACAAGTTAGTGCAACCAAGTAGCACAAATATATGTGTACCACAACATTGATGTTGTAACATTAAACCACAAATAAATATGTTCCACAACATTGGTAGTGTAACAATGTACAACAAATACATTGTGGTACTATGTACCACAAATATGTGTACCACAACATGGACAGTGTAATAACGTACTACTAACACGTTTACCATGACATTGACAATGTAGCTATGTACCACAAATACATGTGTACCAGAACATTGGTATTGTAACAATTTACTACAAATACACATATTTTCAGAATGTAACGCGTATAAATAAATATATGTTGTATATTATGTAAATACATTTTAATACAATGAAAAACATATACCAAATTTGTGTCACTACCTTATGATAGACCATTTAATTGTTGGCAATTCCTCTTCTTTTTCGTGTAACTAAGATACTTTCCATTGCAGGCGATAGAAAACCGCAATAACCTACTTATCAACGAGCAACAGAGACGAATTGCAGGCTGGCGTCAGTATTATATTAATCGACTACCATACGAGTTCCTCATACCAATATACGGTATGTTTTTGGTACTAATTATACCACAAAATTATCCATGGGTAGTATTCATGGAAACAATATACCAGGTAGAAAAGTGATGTTTTTGCCCCCGGGCCGACAGATCGCAACTTATTGTTTTTAAGTCGTTTGTTTGTTTGTCAGTATGTTTGTTTGTTTTTCAGTATGTTTGTTTGTCTGTTGTCTACTTAACTCTTGCCCATAACTATTGCACCGTATGAGGTAGAGCTTTCATATTTGGTATGTGTGTTCCTTATGACAAAACCTTTTCCATGGTACTTTTTTTTCACCGTGTGACCTTGATAGTGACCTTTGACCTACATTTGAACAAATTGTGTATGCAATTAGCACATGCTTTACACAGTACCGTTTTAATGCCCCGCCCTCCCCCCCCTTAGAATTTTGTTGCAACAGGGGTCAATGTTTCATAAACACGTCTTGTTTTATTTTATTCTACTTTCTTATTTCACGTCACAATGAAAATGTTGCTGTGTATAACGTTGTGATGTCATAATTGAAATCTATAGACGTAATGTTTGGCGGCACCCTGATCCTAAACTCCCAACAAAAACCTGAAATTATTTCAAAGAGTCAGTAAGAGAAAGACGTCCATATTAAATAATAACAGAATGAGATATATATTTACCTCTAGTAACACAGTTATTGATTTCACATGCGTTCATAGCTCTTTGTCAAAGTTGATACATTTGGACGAATATATTATCCGTTATACTCCATGAGCTGAAATCACATCAATCTTGATACATTAACATATTGCTATCGATGTAGCATAACGCTATTGTTTTCCCCGATGTCATGTTGACAATGTCTTCCTTTCGTTTACATAGTTTTGGCGTTGTTGGTTTTACGAAGACCCACTACTACTACTACTACCACCGAAACTTGTCCCAGTTTACCGACGGCTGACTCTCTTGGTGTTTTCTGCTGTGGAAATTTTTTGACATCAGCGACCTGTCAGGCATCGCCACAAAACGCACAATGTACTTGGGATTCAGGTTCGTGTTTGTACGAATGCCAAGCTGCAGCGTTCAATACCCAGGCCTTGTGTGAGGGAGTCGGGTGTTCATGGACTTCTCTTTTTGGTAATGTAGGAGTCTGCGCACAATGAGCAATAAAGCATGGATTTTATAGCAACTACTCTGGATGGCTGTTTGGTTTTTCAATGAATAAAAAGATGGAAATATAGTTAAACGCAAAATAAAGTTGTTTTTATTTATGACTGTTATGACTTTCATCGTAGTCTTGTGACTAATGTTAAAAACTACAAACAAACTACAACAAAAAGATGGGGTACAAATTATCGGCATACAAACATAAGTTTGAATTTAAAAAAAAAAAAACCAAAAACAAACATGGATATATAAGCTGGCTCAAGACAAAATGTGGGAGTGTGGTATGGGTGGGACTTCGAAAGATATTAAACGTAATCACAGCAGCAGAAAAATTATGAGGAGTGATGAAGATATGACGCGGTCAAAATCACGAAGGGGTGCGCGCCTCGCTGATTGGTCAATCCAGGCCCTGACCGCCTAGCATCACGGCTACTGCCGCTGGTCACGTGAACAGCCCCTCTGACTGGTCAAGCTAAAACCGTGACCGCATAGCGAGTTGCCCTACACGGCCCTCTTAGCTAACACGTGCGCACACATAACATCCAAATAACAAGAGATACAAACTACATAGGGTAACAGATGGTCACCGGGTGGTCAGAGTTCAAGATCTTATTCCAAATAACAAAATCATGCAAGAGCCAACTTACATAACATTATAATGTGAAGAACATCTGTAGGATTATGACACTTATACATGCATATGAATATATAAAGTAACCATCTAACACAAATGTATTTATTTCATGAAATAAATTATATATATATATATAAGGAAAAAAAAGTTAAGATTTTTTTTAAATTTTGTATTTCATACTATGAAGTCGAAACACTGTGACAGAACTGTCCCTATTTTTAACATTACATCCGATTTCTGATTTGCGCAGCCAAATAACGGCACTCCAGGGTGTCTACTTGTGACATATAAGCAAATAAAATAATTGACGATAACACGCCGATTATGCGTTATATAATTATAGATAATTAATTAACTGTTTCAAATAAAAACGAATGTTTTACAAAAGACCCAAACGAATAGCGCATTTCAATACAAATTTCAATTCAGATAAATATATAGATCGACAGCGATAACATGGAAAATTCCTAAATATTCTCGAAGTTTGTATGAAAATAAGTAATTAAAAAGCTGGTCAATTGAAAATAATCACTCTAGCTTACCGATGTAAATATTTAAACAGTCTGACATTCATTTACGGGCATTTCGCAGCAATATTGTTAGTTTAAATTGGATAGTTATATAAGTTTGCCAAATTACCTTTGCTGTTAGTGATAATACTGATTGAAATAAGTCTAACCCACAGCTTAACCTATCTACAGTATTTACTGTAGACAACAAAATATACGAAAATCAAGGAAACATAATTAGATTTAAGACCACTTGAATTGAAAAGGAGGGGGAAACCAACAAAATATTTCTGTGAGGTTAGAAAAGAAATTTTAAAGTAACTTTTATGAAACCTTGTATCTTTCCGACAACAATATAAAAAACACAGCTTTAGATACAACTTTTGAAGGAAGCAAAATTTCGAAATGAAATGTATTGAAATCAAATTCACTCGGAGCCCTGGGTCAGATGGCTCTACCGAAGAATTCTTTAAATGTTTTTTTTAGGGAATTTTGCAGTAAGATCAATTAATTATGGATATTTTATAAATAAACACTTTCAGTAACTCAAAAGCAGGGCATAGTTACATGTTTACCAAAGGCAGGCAGATTTTAATGTTTAAACATTCTTTGCGGCCATGTTTGATGTCCAATAAAATAAATACTGATTGCATCGTTGTGATACTTGAATAAGACCACTCTTACTTATAAATTTTCATCAAAATTGGATATTTAAATCTCTCGTCTTGCGCTGGGGGACGAAGCAGTTTTGAAATGTTCTGTCGATGAAGGCTATGCTTATGACGAGGAAGAAAATACAATTTTTACGATGCTGGAGATACAAAAGTGGACCAGAGACATAATGCTGATGCGCAAGTGGATTGAGACCGAGACCCTCCCTTATCAAGACATTCCCGCTCATAACTTCTTTGTGAAGTGTTTACGGAGCCAATGGAAGTTGTAATCCATACAGTAGAGTTTGCCCTGTCGAACATAGACACCACAAGGGAGCCAATGGAAGTTGTAATCCATACAGTAGAGTTTGCCCTGTCGAACATAGACACCACAAGGGAGCCAATGGAAGTTGTAATCCATACAGTAAAGTTTGCCCTGTCGAACATAGACACCACAAGGTAGCCAATGGAAGTTGTAATACATAGAGTAGAGTTTGCCCTGTCGAACGTAGACACCACAAGGTAGCCAATGGAAGTTGTAATACATACAGTAAAGTTTGCCCTATCGAACATAGACACCACAAGGGAGCCAATGGAAGTTGTAATCCATACAGTAGAGTTTGCCCTGTCGAACATAGACACTACAAGGAGCCAATGGAAGTTGTAATCCAGATAGTAGTTTGCCCTGTCGAACATATACACAATAAGGAGAAAGACAGTGAACAGCAGGTCAATGATCATTGTGCCATGTTAGCAAGACGATAGAAAAAAACCGACAGAGATGCTTTTTGACCAAGTCTTCAAAGGGACGTTCAATCGGTCATCGCTGGCTGTGCAAAATTGATCTAACGCATAAGACGAAATAAGCCCCATGTACATGTAACACATGCCTATGGAGAGAATTGCTCTCGATATCATGACAGACTGTGCGGAAACTGAAATCAGGAACAGACATATTCTGGTCCTACCTAATTATTTCAGTAAATAGCCCTATGTCCGGTATGATAGCGAGAGCATATGAAGACAATCACCACTGGAATCAACACTTACGAGATGGCATATAATGCCTCCTTTCATCAACGGTACTGTTTAAAACAGAGGACTCGCTTATGGTTTTGGTTCCACAACTGTGACATTTTTCTTTTATCACATTGTTCTATTTTCCTCGAGCCTAATTTTTTTATATAAAACTGGTGAATACGAATTCATTTTTACAAACATCGTTTCGCAGAACATTTTTTTTACCTCGACCACTGTATCATATGTGGCACCCGACCCCTTAGCCAATTTTTACCAAAATTACCATTTCTTAGACACATTTCAGATACACAAATACAAATACTTGTTCATATTATAAGAATATTTTTTATTAATGACCTTAGCGACTCTACAACAATGATCGGAGTATGTATTGATTAAACTAGGTGATCTGACTACACGTGAATATTGTACAAGGCTTACTTGTCTAAATACTTACTATTGAGTTCCAATGTCCTCTGTTCGTCAACAGAATCATAATCTAGACTTTAGTTCGACAATTCGACGGATTATCGTCCCCCAATAAACACACTAATGTGAAGCTATACACCATGTATGAATATATTATGTCATGTATAAATGTTGTGTATTAATCTAAATTCTGATGTGATGTGTTTACATGCCTTGTATCATATTGATTGTTTACATAAAAACCTGTTTATAACTGTTTGTCTCAATATGAGTAGATAGTGCTAGGCAGATTTTTCTAGGAAGCTCGGTTACTAGAATGACCTGTGTGTTTCCGGAAGTTTCTAAACTAGAAAGTTCGGTTATTAGAATTACTTGGGTGTTTCCGGAAGTTTCTAGAGACACATGTAAACAAGCTAGGTACCTGCTAGTCTAGAATCTTTAGTGTATAGAAACATGATGGAACTGAGCCTGAGCAGCCTTTTTTGAAGTATTAACGCCTTGAGTGAGGTTACTTTGAAACTTGATTCAGTGATAGTGCCTTGTGGACTTGCACTTATATATTCCCAACGAGGAAACAATTCTTGGATTATTCTTCGGATACCCTGTATGCGGGACAATCTTTTGTGAATTCTGCTGGATTTAGAGGACTTCCACCGCAAGATAAATTCTGAATTTTGATTAATTAGTGGCTAGCTCTGTACATCATCGCAATATTTGTAACTTTACTGTAGAATTTATTTGTTGTTATTATAATTGTTGAATTGTAAACCTAGCTGTTGGGTTTCATTTGCTGTACGTTAATTCCGTAACGTAACACTTATGACTAGCATTTACATAACGTAGATAATGATTGACTGTTGTGCAATAAGCTTTTCCCGTTCATATTGTGCCATGCTGTACGCTACTTTTCCCTCCTATGCCTTTCACGTCTTTTCCTCCATATATTTCATATCCTCTCCTTCTACTTGCTATTTTTCATAAATACATTAGTATTCTATTCTTTCGTTTTCTCGCCAATGCGCGTCCTAGAAATTAGTGTATTACAATCAGAGACAGATTTAAATAAGTCGCAAAACTTGTCTCTTAATTCGATTCAAATGCGATTCTCAATGCTATATTATATGTATATGTAAATATGACCGAAATAAAGTTTATAATAAATTCTTAATAATCTTTAATAAGCTATTTCATTTCCTTTACCAGAAATCAAACTTACTATATGAGGTATCTTATTCATTGAATTTAATCTGTAATTAAATTTCTTTTATGGCGTATCTCTCAAAAGCTAAGGGGAAACTTGTGGCGGGAACTTTTCTGATTTCAATTATGAAAACTGGTTAAACACACAAGCACGGCCATTACAAATTACAAATGTTACCGGGTATTAAAAAATAACCAAGTTGTTGATTGGTTGTTTTCGTAATTTATTTATTCCCTGACAGTTTACATCGATATAAATACAGACACTCTGAAATGAACATGAACAAACAACGTTACATAGATTACGGTTACAGGGAAGGGAGATTACTCGTATATTTTCACAAGTTACATTAGCCATGAAATATAAACTATTTTTGATTTAAACATATGATATTGAACAATTTCAATGGGATTAGGCACAAGTTTTCCAACTTATATCAAGTCCTTTCCCAATAAAGTTTGACAAAATACATTTTTGAATTTAAAGAAATCTTGTTGAAATTATGGAAGCTAATATAGACACTGACCAGGAAGAATTAGATGTTAAAAAA